GAACTAGACACAGAGAAATGAATACGCTCGGACCTCTATGCAGAACAAATTCCACCTCAGTATGACTGACCTGGCCTACCTCTGCCAGCAAACCACAGGGGCTGCATTATGCTCTGTAATGTAAGTGCTTAAAAACACTACAGAGAGAGGCTTTCATTCCTCTGCACTAAAGGTCAGAATCAGGTTTTCAGATTAAAGCAAGTGCATAATTTAAAGTACCACTTTGTTTTATATCCAAGAAAGCAAACAACACCCAAACAAAACCCAAACCCTGTGTTTAAGTAAGTCTTTGAAATATAAAGGGTAGAAAGAAAACAGCAGGAATATTGCTGCACAGATTTCTAGGTTACATTTCTTTAAATGCCAGTGATTTGAAAGCACAGGTATAAGCTACCCAATTTGAAAACTGGCATAACTGAAGACAAAATGAATTTAATGACAGTTTTTCTACTAGCTTCAAAGGATTTTGCATCAGGACCTGAAAACGTTTCTTTGAGAGCATTTATCACTTGTTGTTTGTACAACTGACACCTGTGCTATAGGCAGAATCTGTGCTCTCCAAGTGAACAAGCAGCTGCTGAGTGCATACCCTGAACAAATGGGGAGTTCATGAAACACTGAACTCAAATAGTAACACCTGTGACACAGCACTCCTTATGTGAGGCCATAGGGACCTCCCAAAGGTGTGTTTTCCTAATTGCACATCCAAAATATAGCCCTTTCATTTGCTCATGAAACAGGGTAAAATACTCTGCTTGCTTCTCACTACCTGATGCTCATCTGCTCTTTTTACCAGCAGAAACATTTGTGTAACATGTCGTGAACTGCATGAAGGCCACTGAAAACCACAAGCCAGGGTCAGAAAAAAATTGGAAGAGGGGCAGGAATACTTTAAATCCATATCGCCACTGGACATTACAAATTGTGAAAGCACACTATAGTGTTACTAAAACAGCAAGCATATGACTTTAATAGTAATTCGGCATGTGCAAGTCTTGATGCTTATAGGATCTTACATCAACAGGAGAATGTTTTAGTTTTATAATCAATGAAGAACTAAGAGCTGATATTCTAAACTTAGTCTTGGCTATGTAAACAGATATAAACCAGGGATTAGCTTTGATTCTGAACAGTAACAGAAATTATCTTCTCTGAAATCAACAGTGTCCCCTCAGGTAGTGGTATGTCCTCAGCGGTGAGCCTGGTTGCAGTATGTTAGATAGTTAGGTCTAGGGTATAGACTACCACATGGTATGTTAACATACAGTAACCTAGGAAATAACTCATGTATTCCAGCTAAGCACATGTGTTCAAGAACAAGCATCTGAATCAGTTGTAGAGATTTATTGCATGGTCCATGTTTGATTTGCCATGTCAAGTTCAGTAGAGTTGTGTGTATGTGTGGGTTTTTTATTATTATTATTTTAGTTCCAAAGTCTTATATTCTACTTATATAGCTGTTATTGGACCTTTCTTACTCCTACCCTACAGGTGTTTGAGACATCTCAGTGCAATGTGCATTTCAAGGACACTGAACCTCATTCCCTCCCCCCCCCCCCCCCCCGCCCTGTACTTCAGCTCCCCCTCCTCCTGGCTGAAGGAGCCAGGGTTACAACCAGGGTGGCTCTGAGCCCTTCAAAGGGAGCTAAATGAGCTCCACCAACTGTACTTGAAGCAAAGAATCACAGCATCATAGAATCAACTCGATTGGAAAATACCTCTAAGATCATCAGGTCCAACCATTTCTCCAGGACTGCCAAGACGGCCACTAAACCATGTCATTAAGGGCCTCAGCTATCCAAATTTTTGATCACTTCCAGGGATGGTGATTCCACCACTGCCCTGGGCAGCCTGTTCCAATGCCTGAGCACCCTCTTTGTGAAGAAATTCTTCCTAATATCCAATATAAACCTCCCCTGGCACAGCTTGAGGCCATTTCCTCTTGTCCTATCTCTTGCTACTTGGGAGAAGAAACCGATCCCCACCTCACTACAACCTCCTTTCAGGCAGTTGCAGAGAGCAATAAGGTCCTGCTTTAGCCTTCTCCAGACCAAACCTCCCCATGTTCCTCAGCAGCTCCTCATCACACTTGTGCACCAAGCCCTTCACCTGCTCTGTTGCCCTTTTCTGGACCTGCTTAAAAAGAAACAAACCATCCTACCACTTACCACAGTTTCGTTCTCATGTGGAAACTCCGAGGATACACGTGGTTTTGCCGATGACGAGCCAGGCTGTGGAAACCAGTGGTAGGTTCCTGTCCCTGGGGATGCGGGTTCCACTGAGGAACGGAGGCTCCGGGCTGGCCGGGCCGCCCGGCAGCGGCACCTCCGTTTCCTCACCTCAGGCCCACTGAACACAGAAGCAGGGCGCGCCCCCTGGCGGCAGCGTCCCGCGGAGCGGGTGGAAGAACCGAGAGCAACGAAAACATCTTTAGCTGTACGTGTCGTGTGCCCCCAGCAAAGCCACATAAAAACAGCATTCCACAGGTGACCTGCCTTGTGGCACTGCGACAGGGTCGAAAGAGACGGTGGCACAAACCAGTCCCCTTCCCCCGCCATATATTGCCTACGAGCAAACCAGTGAGAATTCATGTGTAAAAGCTTCATAAAAGTATGCTCCACTTCGCTTGAGCCCAGTTCTTTCTCAAGATAAGCAACTGAAAGCAGACAGTTATGAAACCTAATCCTTACATCCACTTTACCATTTTTGGTTTGAAAGGTAGAATCTATAAAGATTTTCTCTAAATAAATCTGTCAGATCTGAAAGAGTAAAGGCATTGGAGATGCAGGGACAAAAGTTGGCTCAAATGAACTGTAAATAAGAAAGAAGCAGGGGATAGAAAGTAAAAATCAGGAAAAGGAAGGCATACAAGTAAATAATTAATAAAAAGACTCTGAATTATTTCTCAAGGACATTTTGCTTCACCATTTGTATGGATTAAGAGCACATACCAAGTTACTGCAGGGCAGATGATACATGGAAACTCATCAAACCTCTGTAAAACTGCTTCAACTTGTTGACTCCCATCACGCAAAGTGGGAGAAATCTCACGGTCCCCTGTGTATTTTCTCCAAAGCAACCAAGGCAGGCTCTGTAATGAGATGACCAGATGAATGAACTCCAGGTAATAGGAGGTGTAAAGTCACTGTAATACCTTAGCATAGCTTTATTTCCTGACCTTCACCATTCTGCCATCTCCCTATCTTCTCCCTCTACTGTGGCTCAGTTATCCCCCCTTCTACATTCACCCTTTAATTATCTTTGAAAATGCACAGATCTTTTTTTCTTATGCTTGCATTTGGTTTTTCTACAGATATTGAAGATGCAGGAATTAAGTGAATGAAGGAGAAGGGCAGAAAAGAAACTTCTTGTGGAGATGGTGAAAATCATATCAGGTCACACTGTAGTTTGGACTTTTTATGGGAAAAACTACTTCAGTGCACTGTAGAACTACATGAAAACACAGTAGGAAGACAGCTGGATAACTGATATGGTGGCCAAACCAAGCACACACACCAAGAAGAGCTTGCACACTCAGATCAAATGTTTGATTATAATCAGTCCAATTTTTATGTAGCCTACAAAATTCCAGTCTCAATTCTCAGTACATTAAGGAGTGAGCCTAAAAGATAAATCATTTTAGGCAGTCAAAATGGAAGTACTGTTCAGATGCCATAACTATGAAATCTTTTTCTGTCTCAACAATGACATAAGACATCAACTCAGTTAACTTGTCTAGTCACTGTTACTACAACATGAATGCACAAGAAGTTTCTTCAGCATAGTACAAGTAGGGGGTGGGAGAGCAGTACCTGTTAGTCCTGCCCTAGCTGCAGCACTTTCGGGGAAAGAGAAGACTTCACAGTCCTGGGGAGCAACCGAGCACATGCTGTGAGGAGACCCTCATAGTTTGCGGGAGAGCTCATCATGCAGGAGACTTAGAAGAATAGGGGGCAGCTACACAGACAGGTTCCTGCAGGGATAGAAAGGACTAGACTTCCAGGGTAGATTTTGTAGGTGCTGAATCCAAGCAGTCAAGCTGCTGGACCAAGAGGGAGCCTGAAAGAGAGGTACTACCATGAAATGACACAGGGATCACAAGGCAATCTGTCTGCAAATGCATCTATTCTTTGTAAGAAGATTTACAACATCAGAAAAGATAGGGAAGAGGTTTCAAAAATATCCTGCTGTCTTTTGTTTCATAAGCAGCAAGGTGCTTCTAAGAGCCTTAGTAGGAAACCAACCACCTCTTTTTTTCTTTTCTTTTTTTTTTTTCTTAAAAATAATCTCAGCATCAAAGATTTACCCAAGATCAGAGAGGTGCCTTGGAGAAGGGCAGGAAGATGTACCAGTGTTTCAAGTCAGTCTTAAAAAAGTCCACCAAAACCCAGCCAAATAAACCCCTCAGTCAACAGTGTTATCTCTAAAGCAACTGTATTTATTTCTATGAAGACAATTTTTTCTGGGCTTTGTAAAAATTTGGTATGCATTTCTGTAAATTATTAACTTGCTAGCCATGAGTCCAGTTCAGTAGCAAGGATAAAAATCAATGATCCCAACAAATACACATTTAAATCTTTGCAAATATCTGTCATTGTTTTACACATTTACAACTTTAACACTCTTATGGGTTTTGATGGGTTAATTCTGATCTCATACTCATTTTACAATAGTGTAGTTATATGCACTTTGGTGGAGTTAAATCTAGCTTGCATAACCTAAAATAAATCTTATTAAAACAAACCCAGTGCCTATTTCTTATTTATAGCAACAGATCTATCTTTTAATCTACAATTGAAACTATCATGCTTGACAAGTGGTTATTCTTTGACAAGCCTTATGCTTTCCTTAGCACAAAAATAGATTTCAAAAAAAGAATACTAGGATAAAGTAAATTGGAATCTTGTCTGCTTCTTAATCATGAGTTATACACCCACACAGTCTGCTCTGTCGTGTTTCCACCTCTGACAAGTGTATATAATTGAACTACAATTCAAGACTTTATCAAAGTAGAAGGTTATGTTTATTAACATGAATGAGGAATACATAAGAAAAACAAGCAGTTTAATAATAGTGTAATCAAAATAATAAGTACAGTAAATACATTTAAAAGGTGTACACTAAAGGCTTTCATTCACAGGTGAATAGTAGTTTACATTTCCACAAAAATTACATTCAGTTCACAGTTCCATCAAAATCAAAGCTGTATTCTTTCAGGGTTGATTTCCCCTCCCAGAGGCTTTACTGACTCTTTCTTTCTTTTCTTCTTGATTTTTATTAATCTTCTTTCACCTTTTTTTTTATTGAATCCTAAAGTTAAAATGAAGAGAGATTAGATCTGTATGATTAACACATCCAAAATTATCAGAAATGAGGCAAGTCTTGTGTTGAAGAAATATTATTAAAAAAAGAGAACGTCTTACCTAAAGTCTTCATATGCTTGACCAATGCCAAGTTGTCTTACTTATGTTCTTGTGCACTGTATTTTACTGTACATCTTTCTTTAGCTCTGATTTCCATTTTCACTTTTCTAAGATTTTCAACTATTATGTTTTATTGGGCCAATACTTGCTGTCAAAATTTGCAAGAATATTTCAGCATGTATAACATTTACCTCTTATGATAGTCTGTGGCAGTATCACTCCCCATACCTTTCTTGCAGATCCTCAAACATGACTTTCTGGAAGTGAAGTTATTTTCATTCCCACCACAACCACTGTAGCTAAATGTGTGACATCTTCCAGTTGAGAAGTTGTAGAAAAATCTTAACTCTTTGGCTCTACAAAGTCCTCTGTCCATAGGGGTCATACACAAAGAAGGGAGAGGGGATGGTTCTAGAAACACCAAGAGAAACAAGGTTAGAGACAACACTGCAGTTTACCAGTTTTCTGATATGTTGATATGTATATGAGATTTTAAGCCAACAGAACGTTGAAATTTAGATAAAATTTACTGGCAAGTTTTATTCTGCCCTCCTGAAAATCCAGGATACGTTACCTAAGCACCTTTCTTTTTTATGATTACACAAACCACCACAGCAAATGTTATTCTTTCTTTGAATTCCAAAAGCCAGCAAAAACTTACCTGAAAGCAAGGTTTGTTACAACGTATTTAGTGATAAAATTGCCATTTATGTGATAGGCGATACTATTCAAATTCAGAGAAGTTTTAAGTGAAGTATTTGTAGAAAGTGAAATAAACTTGGACAGCTTTAAAGATATGGTAAATATTTATGATAACTAATGAGTTCATTACTGCTAGACAATCTGAAATCAAGTAGAAGATAAAACTACCCAGCATTTCCAGTGTAAGATTCAATACCTTAATATCAGGTTTGTCATGAATACAGAAAGCTTGACCTAAGTAACAGAAGTTGGTCTATTGGAAAACACTGAGCAATTAACAAGAAATAGCTTGTAATTTGTAGAATAACAAAGAAGAGTGAGTGCACAAAGTGATTTGAGATGCTCATGATTTAGTTCTGCAGTTAGGTTTTTATCATTCCAAGGAGCAGGCTGATGGTTTCTTTCTTCAGTGTCACTGCAAGTGAGAGTCTGAGAACTGCAACACTGGAAGGTGAGCCTGAGGTATCCAAAGTACCAGGGGTATCCGAAGTACCCGGGCACTGAAGCAAGCTCAAGAAGCAAACCCATGCCAGAATCCCCAAACCTGAAGAAACTTCATCATCTATCACCCTGGAGTGACTCATATACAAAGTCAGAACTGATACAATTGCTGCGCAGGATGCAGGACACCGAAGGGAGCCACTATATCATCAGTTGTGAGGTACCTCAAGGAACACCATTGCCCTTCAAGAAGTAGCAGAATTGAGATAGCTGAGATCTGAGTGCATAAATGGGAATATGCAGTTAGTCAGATGGCTTTCTTGAAGTTGCAAAGCAAGGTAGAAGTGGTTCAGAACTAAAAAAAAGTAAACACTTTAGGGAATAATTTGGGTTACAGCAGAACTGAAGACACTCTGTTGTCACAGAAGTGGGAAGCAGGTAAGTTGCTGAAAGCAAAAGTTATGAATTAAGCTGGCCAATTCAAGAGGCCGACAAGAAAATATCCAAAAAGAGCATGATACATTTTACATGTTGTCGTGGTTTAAGCTGAACCCAGGACACATGGATTCATATATTACACCTGCTGAAAAACGTTCATCTGTCAAACATAATAGCTGAACTGATGTGAAAAAGTACAAAAAAATTGCTGGGAAAGAAATAGCATAGTGATATATAAGACAGCAAAATGAGATTAATAATAATAAGCTGTGTTAGCATCATCATACTATACAAAAAGAATCCTGAAATGCAAAAATTGAGTCATAAGTTGTTTTTTTCAAGATAGATTAAATTAGTTTCAGGTTATAAAATGAGTTTCTTGTTATAAACTGTGACATTATCATAAGAGACAGGTTCACCCTGGATTCAGAGTAAGAGCCCACAATGTGATACACTTGATATTAAATCTAGTGTTTTATTTATAAAGAGCATGGCAGCTAAATTAAGTAATGCAGTGCTTTTGGTACAGCTCTGAGAACTCTTGTACCTAGAATTCATTTAATCTCTCTAGCTGGAGAGTTTTCAAAGTACATGTTCAGAAACAATAGAAAATAAATGGTTACCTAGTTTAACCTGATAATTCCTGAACCTAAAAAGAACAAAGCAGAAAGGCTTGCCAACAAGGGAAGAGCCAAACAGCATACATTTGTTAATTATATAATGAAATTTAAGTACATTGTAATGTAAATTACTTATCTGGTATGTAGAAGTTTCCAAAAACTCCACAGTCCCTTCATGAAGGATTTCTCACAACTGTAAGCTTTAGGGGAGCCATGGAGCCGACAACGTGGTTAGTAGTAAGGATTACCTATGTACATATAATGCAACAGGCAGAGCAGCATCCAAATGCTATTCAGAATCCTTTGTGTACTCTTTCTAAAACTTATGTTGTTCTTTGTCTAGATCACTGCTAGATAAATGTCCCAGAAAGCAAATACTGTTCCTGTCCATCTTCAAAATATCTGCATATTCATTATAACGACAGAAGCAAACAGCCCCTGAAGAAAACCTCTTAACTTTGCCATACAGAAGCCATGTTTTTCAACTATATATATAGCTGAAATATATATTAAAATAAAAATGAAATTACTTATCATAATTTCCTATCTGCCAAGGATCATGCAAAATATTGATTTTAATATACTGATCACTAAAAAACCTGTTTTCTTTAAATCACTGTAAACAAAAAATACCTACAGTGTCATGCCCAGCCCAACATCTAGATTGTCAGGACAATCTATCAGCCCCAGCTTTTAATGCTGTGCTTATACGCACGTTGTTACAGTGAGTTTAGATATTATGCCTGTTCTTGAGTTTCTCTCTCTAATGTTTTGTTTTACAACCTCATTTTAGTGAGTGTTGTTGAACTGTTGTATCTCTTGCTTTTTCTATGAAGGAAAAGAGAAAATGAAAGCAGCAAAATCCCACAACCCACAAAGCTACACAGAGAGGAAAGGTGCACACTGAAAAGAGTAAAAAAAAATTAAAATAAAAAATCAGCAATACATGTCCCACTATCAGAATTGTTTTCCCCAATCTAGTCATTACAGATCTATGAATTAAAAATATCAGTTTTATTAAGAGGCTACTTGAGATAGAAATGCTGTTTGTAAGTCTTTTTTCACAATTTAGATTATGTTTTATCAAACTTTTTTCACAGTGCAAGTAGCACTACACATTACGCAACTCATTACATGTTAACACCAAATTATGAACCTGAAAGTTAACAGATGTGATTAAA